TGGCACCTTTTTGTAATTCTTGCATGACCAGGAAAGGATAATTAAGGAAAGTTTGGGTTATTGGAAGGGGGGATGGCCGGGCTGATATTCATCCGTGGTGGTAGGTGTGACGGGGAAGGGTTGCCGGTTTCTTGGTCCCTAGAGGGCCCCCCATCCCGATGGGCCCTCCTAAACTCCATCATACGACTCTTCTAGACAATTACGCCTCTAGACTCAGGCATAGACAATACTGCCAGGAATTCTGCTTCTCTCTTTCTGTCAATTCTGGTCTTGGTCTAACTCGTCATTCTCAACGTAATTCAAGTCATTTCTGTGGCATCCCATTTCTTATATTTTCCTTTTATTCCTGCTATGATTCTAAGGTACATGCATCTCGCTCATGTCGTCTCTCTGAATCGTTGCTAGGCATGTAGATGGGTAAATGTGAAATGACTGATATAAATTGGCTCCTAGCTATAGACAACTCGCTGTCGCAGACCACTTAGCTTCCCTCTTCCACTGATATTTCATTGACCGAAAACGATCATCATACTATGAACAGTTGAGGCAGTAGATTAAACCAAGGTAAACGCTCACACTCTCTCTTGCAGACTGTCCCTCGTCGGTGTCCCCTCTCTGGCAGGCATGGTCTCTCTGTGACTACGGAATCCTTCTGGTCCGTGCGATCTCCCCCCCAGCGGCACCTCCTCTAGGCGGCCAAAAAAAAAAAAGGGTCATCGGTTTAACGAATCCCGGGTCGGGGCCCGTGAGGAACACCTAATGGCGGTTCACCTCTCTCTCTCTCTCCATCTCTCTCTCTCTCTCTCTATCTCCTCCTCTCCTCTCTCACTGCTCTTCTGTCTGTCGTTCCGGTAGGATTTCTGAGAAAACCAGAGCTTGGTGGGATGCTGTCAGGAACAGTCTGGCTGTTGTATTATTCATGGTTGAGCCAGAGAGAGTATCTACAATGAACAGAGAGAACCTCACATAGCTTAGGTGGGTGGCTGGGAGACTGCAGATATGCCGGGTGCACAGGTGAACTAGTGGACTTGTGAAGTAAGGTGCCACACAAGGAGCGTACAGGAAATGGATGTAGAATAGTCACAGCTACCTTGTTCATCTCAGTGATAGGCAGCAGGTGGCAGAGCCCTGGATATCTCCCAACCACAACCTCTTCTCCTCTTTCACCACAGAGATGTAACCCATAGAAACGTTAAAATAGAAAAATAATAACATCCCCAAGATGGCTAATGGCTGCTCCCGGTCAATCAAGCAAGATCCTGGGGAGTCCAGGGGCATCCAGAGAGGATAATAGAGATTGTTAGATTGCAGCATAATTGAATTCTAATGGTGTGGCAAATTGTTGTGATAACACTGATTACATGTTATTAATGTCCATTACTGCAGACATACCAGGCTGAGGCACAAAGTACCTGTATCATACCAAGGGAAAATTGGAGAAAATGGCTAATACAGATGTAGGACCTTAATTTGAGCCAGTTTGCTACAGCAGGAATATAATCCTGCAGCAACAGGAAATGTGAATTATTATGTGGATTATAATTAATTGACATTTATTTTTGTAGCAGTTGATACATTTTTCATAAGGAAAAATCAAGTCTGAAATTTCCAAATTTCAGAAGTCGTTTTAAACCTCAAATACACTACAAGTTAAACATTTATCCTGCAACAGGGTGATCAAATTAAAATCCTACATCTGTACGTGAGTGTGTGTGTGTGTGCATGTCAGAGTACAGTGGGGAGAACAAGTATTTGATACACTGCCGATTTTGCAGGTTTTCCTACTTACAAAGCATGTAGAGGTCTGTAATTTTTATCATAGGTACACTTCAACTGTGAGAGACGGAATCTAAAACAAAAATCCAGAAAATCACATTGTATGATTTTTAAGTAATTAATTTGCATTTTATTGCATGACATAAGTATTTGATACATCAGAAAAGCAGAACTTAATATTTGGTACAGAAACCTTTGTTTGCAATTACAGAGATCATACGTTTCCTGTAGGTCTTGACCAGGTTTGCACACACTGCAGCAGGGATTTTGGCCCACTCCTCCATACAGACCTTCTCCAGATCCTTCAGGTTTCGGGGCTGTCGCTGGGCAATATGGACTTTCAGCTCCCTCCAAAGATTTTCTATTGGGTTCAGGTCTGGAGACTGGCTAGGCCACTCCAGGACCTTGAGATGCTTCTTACGGAGCCACTCCTTAGTTGCCCTGGCTGTGTGTTTTCGGGTCGTTGTCATGCTGGAAGACCCAGCCACGACCCATCTTCAATGCTCTTACTGAGGGAAGGAGGTTGTTGGCCAAGATCTCGCGATACATGGCCCCATCCATCCTCCCCTCAATACGGTGCAGTCGTCCTGTCCCCTTTGCAGAAAAGCATCCCCAAAGAATGATGTTTCCACCTCCATGCTTCACAGTTGGGATGGTGTTCTTGGGGTTGTCCTCATCCTTCTTCTTCCTCCAAACACGGCGAGTGGAGTTTAGACCAAAAAGCTCTATTTTTGTCTCATTAGACCACATGACCTTCTCCCATTCCTCCTCTGGATCATCCAGATGGTCATTGGCAAACTTCAGACGGGCCTGGACATGCACTGGCTTGAGCAGGGGGACCTTGCGTGCGCTGCAGGATTTTAATCCATGACGGCGTAGTGTGTTACTAATGGTTTTCTATGAGACTGTGGTCCCAGCTCTCTACAGGTCATTGACCAGGTCCTGCCGTGTAGTTCTGGGCTGATCCCTCACCTTCCTCATGATCATTGATGCCCCACGAGGTGAGATCTTGCATGGAGCCCCAGACCGAGGGTGATTGACCGCCATCTTGAACTTCTTCCATTTTCTAATAATTGCGCCAACAGTTGTTGCCTTCTCACCAAGCTGCTTGCCTATTGTCCTGTAGCCCATCCCAGCCTTGTGCAGGTCTACAATTTTATCCTTGATGTCCTTACACAGCTCTCTGGTCTTGGCCATTGTGGAGAGGTTGGAGTCTGTTTGATTGAGTGTGTGGACAGGTCTTTTATACAAGTAACGAGTTCAAACAGGTGCAGTTAATACAGGTAATGAGTGGAGAACAGGAGGGCTTCTTAAAGAAAAATTAACAGGTCAGTGAGAGCCGGAATTCTTACTGGTTGGTAGGTGATCAAATACTTATGTCATGCAATAAAATGCTAATTAAGTACTTAAAAATCATACAATGTGATTTTCTGGATTTTTGTTTTAGATTCCGTCTCTCACTGGTACACTTACCTATGATAAAAAATTACAGACCTCTACATGCTTTGTAAGTAGGAAAACCTGCAAAATCGGCAGTGTATCAAATACTTGTTCTCCCCACTGTATGTGAGCGGAGCTGGAGCGGAGCAAGGAGCGCAGCGTGCCCAATTTCACTGGAGCGTGGAGCGAGTTTCCCAAAGGCTGGAGCGTCAGCCTTCTAGCCCGCTCCAATTTTGCTCCAGTAGCTCAGGGCATGCCTGGCCCAGCATGCATTTGTAGTCTACTTGTGTGCTGCTATTGCCCCTCGCTTTAGCTAACGTCATGGAGGTGGCTAAATATTTTCATAAAGAAACTGATAAAACACACAGGTGCTAAATCAAGGTGAGTTACAAAGATGAGGACTAAGAGCAAGAGAGGGAGTGTGGGGATGTAGTGTCCACAACTAAATAATCAGTGGAATCTGAAAAGACACATATCCCAAAAGCATGCTGGTTTACTTACTACGTGCACATGCTAAAATAAAGGAAGTGTGTCATTGTAGCAAAGTATTTATAAACCAAAAATCAGATCTCTTAATAGTTTTGTGCATTTTTGTTTTATTATCTATACAATAGGTCATAATTGATTTTGGCCCAATAGGCTTGGCATATTCCCACTTTCAAGGAGCTTTCCGTTTTGACTGGGTTATTTTGCCTAAAAACCTTTCGGACTACCTATAGAAAAATAAAACTCTGCATCTCTGCCCAGCCTTGCAAGAGTGGCCCGAAGGGTGTTTAGCATCCCCAGTGGCTCTGCAAGCGCGGATATGATATTCTCCGCTGTTGGCCTGCTCTTCAGGCACCATCGCATGAGGCTGAAGCCACAGACTCTGGCCAAACTCGTGTTTCTAAAAAATTATTAGGCACTGAGCCTAATAAGGCATTTTTCAGTTTAATTTGTATTTCATTCTAAGTCACAGCCTATATGCGCAATTTATAGACTATAATGATTTAACACAACAAAATGTTGTTTAAATGCTGAGCCCTTTATGTCTCTACCACCCTATTGTGTCGCACTCGCAAATGCTTCACAATGTATTTCTTTGTAGGCTATAGCCTTGAAATAATGCAATATAGCCTAAATTATTCATTTTCGTTCCTTCTTAGGCTTCCTGTCTGGCTCCTGACCTATTTACAGTGTTTTTATGCTGTTTAAATAATAATAATAATAATAATAATAATATGCCATTTAGCAAAGCGACTTACAGTCATGTGTGCATACATTTTTACGTATGGGTGGTCCCGGGGATCGAACCCACTACCCTGGCGTTACAAGCGCCATGCTCTACCAATTGAGCTACAGAGGACATGTAACCTATTTGAAATGATGAGCGCTTCTTACATTCACCTTTTCATGTTTATTCAATTACTTTTCATTCAAATACATATCGTTTGGTTTCAATTCTTCAAAACCAAATGGTAGGTCCAGGTAGTCACAAAAATAGATGGGTGTTGGTTAAATTGTGATTTCATGAATGGATTTAAGAGCGGCAGTTTTTTTTCCTGTGATCGCGGAGCGGTTTATAGCGGAGCGGTTGGAAAGGATGTGGAGCACCGGAGCGGTGTGTAAGCACCGCTCCATGAGTGATGAGCGGGATTTCCGACCACTCAACTCCGCTGACATACTCTGGTGCGTGTGCATGTACATATGTGGATAAGTGTGTGGTGTGCTTCTACATATGTGAGTGTGTAAACGGCTCCTGCTCTCCAGGACAGAGAGCCATACAGTACAGTGTAGTGACTCACCGAGTTGGATGGCATGCCCAGGTTGGTCTCGATGTAGGTCTCTGTCTTGGGTTCCACAGCGAGCTCTGCCTCGAGGACCTTCTCCACAGGCATGTCCTCGTTGACGCTGCTGGTGGACTCCACCTCGTTCTCACTGCGTTCTTTGGCCCGCTGGCGCTCCTCCTGGACGGCTGAGTGTAACAAAACTGGTTCCGGTCACTACTGCTGCTGCGGTGTTGTCTAGTGTGTGCGGTGTTTATGCGTGTGTTGTGTGTGTGTGTGTGTACATATGTAAATAATGTTTGTGTACCATTATTATAACATGCTCTGATATAAAGACAGAGTTAAACAGTCCCAATAATTACAGGAGACATGAATAGAGACATGAAAGGAAATACAGTACTGTGTAAACACAACATCCATATATCACTTCATACAAGGACCCCCTCTTCAGCTGTCTGATATCAGGGAGCTGGGTTTATCTAGAGCACAATAACAAACAACAAGCACCTTTCATGGCCATCATATATTGACACATTAATAATGTATGGGATGTCAGTCCTCATTTACACCCTGCATGTTCACCACAGACACTGTGACAGAATGGCTTTGAGACACTGACTGGAGCACACACATTAAAATGGGGACTTTGTCCAATATGGTTTATATTCTGTCCAGTAAATAACAGTCTCACTAAGTCTCTGGGTAAAGCAGGGCCCTTTTGGATCTGCTATGTAATTGGCTTGGCAGGGAGACACAGGAAGTGGTTTGTGTGCTGAGCAGACACAGAGGCTCACTGTGGCCGAGGCAGGCCAAACCGCACCTCCACCCTCAGAGGATTTGGGAGAGGTGTGTGTGTTCATGGGGAAGTGGTTGCTCTGCACTGACTCTGGGTCTCTCCCTATTTTCCCTTCTAGATTCCCCAATAAACATAAACACTCCCTCAGACACACATCCACACGTCTACACACAGACAAAGACACTTCATATTCTCTCTTTTCTTCCTTTTTCCTTCTCTTGTTTCTATCCAAGTGCTGAATCACAGGGGTGGGGGTTCTGGGAAGGGGAGACCGGGGAGACCGGGGAGACGAGGAGGGGACGAGGGGCCCCATTTTAGAGGAGCTGCTGTCTGGCAGTGGAGGTCAGCCCAAGGGTAGAATAGTTGCGCTGGAGTCAGAGAGAGGTGAGGAGGGCTGAAATCATGTTAGCTTTATTTCCCCCTTCCCCTGACTGGGAGAGCATCAATTCATTTAATCCAGTTTTTCTTTGGATTCGCTCAGCCTTTTGGACTACCGCTGCCGTGCTCTCCCCCTGCCTCAGGGTACAGGGGGGCTTAGGCAGCACAGTGAGGTGAAAGGCAGTAAATGATCATATCCTTGAACAGAGGTTGAGCCCCATGATGATATAAATAAGAGTAAATAGGGGAGGGAGGGAGGGATGGGGGGATGATCAGGAGGGGGGAGGGGTGACTCTTGAGGTCAAGACAAATTAGCCCGGGAAAGAAAAGCTCTCAGAATGTCCTTATCCTAGACTCTTGTTTTCTCTTTTCCTCTGCTTTCGTTTTGTTCTGCGTCTGATACTCATTGGTTAAGGGTGGGGCTGAACAACTGAACACCGGGCTGAAGGCTAATGATGTGTGATATCTTTCTGTTCATGCTAGATCAGTTTTGTATTGTTTTTGCATGGTGTGGTGGTTAACGATTCAAAATAGGGAAAGCTGATCCTAGAATAACATAAAGTGATTTCTGATATGGAACTGGATTGTGTGCTTCAGGCTTATGTCCCTGAATAACTGGAATACCACATTGTGTCTCTAAAGCCATAATATTTAATGACTGAACATGGGAGTTAAAATAGTATTGCAAAGCAAAACTTCACCGTAGATAGTGATGCCGCTGTTCTGATGGAGACGTGTGCTAAGAGTATTAATGTCCTCCTCTCTTATGAAGTGCTAAAACTACCTCTTGATGGCAACAGCTTGTGCTCTCTCTCTCTCCGCTCTCTATCTCCCTCCACTCTCTCTTCCTCTCTCTCTTTTTTCTCTCTCTCTTTCCCATCCCACCCCTTCTTCTCCTACCCTCCCTTGTGGTAAATCACTGTTCTTCAAGGGAAATCTGAAATCATGAATAGGTCTGCCTGTGAATGCTAACAATCACTGAACCATTCTCAAGCTAAAGTCTTGTCAATGAAAGAGCCCTGATCTGGATAACCATTAGCCTCTCATTTCAATGCTGAGCACCTCTGAGGAAGTCAGTAATTCTGACTGCGAGTCCTCTGCAACTAGTGCTCCTCATTCAGTAGTAATGAAGAGCGGATGAGTGGAGCTCTCACTATCACACAAGTGATCTCAACACAATCCAAGATCTCTACATGAGGAGCCAAACGATTAACACTGACACGACTGACACAGAGGGTTCTTGTGTGTGTGTGCGTGTGTGAGAGAGAGAGAGAGAGAGAGACAGAGAGACAGAGAGAGAGAGAGATAAAGATAGACAGAGATAGAGAGAGAGATAGAGAGAGAGAGACAGAGATAGAGATAAAGATAGACAGAGAGAGATAGAGAGATAAAGATAGACAGAGAGAGAGGGAGACAGAGAGAGATAGACAGAGAGAGAGGGAGACAGAGAGAGATAGATAGAGAGAGAGACAGAGAGACAGAGAGATAGATAGAGAGAGAGAGAGACAGAGAGAGAGATAGACAGAGAGATAGACAGAGAGAGAGAGAGACAGAGAGAGACAGATGGAGAGAGATAGACAGAGAGAGAGATAGACAAGAGAGAAGATAGAAGAGATAGACAAGAGAGATGAGAGAGACAGAGAGAGAGATAGAGAGAGACGAGGAGATAGACATAGAGAGAGAGATAAGACAGAGAAGAAGAGATAGATAAAGATGAGAGAGTTTCGAGACGTATATATAGATAGACTACGAGCATGAGCTGATAGACTAGACGAGAGATACAGTAGGAGATATAGACATAGAGGATAGATATACAGGAATAGAGAGAGAGAGATAGAGAGAGAGAATAGAGCAGAGATAGACAAGAGAGAGAGATAGAATGACGAGATAGAGATAGACAGAGAAGATAGAGAGATAAGACAGAGATGAGAGAGGATAGACAGAGATAGAGAGAGAGAGATAGATAGAGATAAGAGGAGAGAAGAAGAAGAGAGAGAGAGATAGACAGAGAGAGTATAGCAGAGAGAGATAACAGAGATAGAGAGAGAGAGAGAGATAGATAGAGAGAGAGAGATATACAAGAGAGAGAGATAGAGAAGAGAGAGATAGAGAGAGAGAGAGAGAGATAACAGAGAGAGAGAGAGATAGACAGAGAGAGAGATAGCACAGAGAGAGAGAGAAGATAGACAGAGATAGACAGAGAGAGATATAAGAGAGAGATAGAAGAGAGATAACAGAGAGAAGAGAGAGAGAGAGAGATAGACAGAGAGAGAGAGAGATAGACAGGTAGAGATAGAAGAGAGAGATATAGAGAGATAGAGATAGACAGAGAGAGAGAGAGAGAGAGAGAGAGAGAGAGATATAGACAGACATAGAGATAGAGAGATAGAATACGAGAGAGAGATATAGACCAGAATGAGAGAAAGATAGACAGATAGAGAGAGAGATAAGAGATAGAGAGAGAGAGAGACACAGAGAGAGAGAGAGATAGACAGAGAGAGAGAGAGAGAGAGAGAGAGGGTAAATGGGTCTTTATCCTCAACGGCATGTGCTGTACCTTCTCTCTTCATTCCACAGGCCAGACATTTCTGGTAGCGGCAGTACTGACAGCGGTTGCGCTGGCGCTTGTCGATCAGACAGTCCTTGTTGTCGCGGCAGGTATAGGTCAGGTCCTTCCGCACTGTTCTCTTGAAGAAGCCTTTACAGCCCTCGCAGCTATACACTCCATAGTGTTTACCTGAGGAAAGACAGGTAATCTTCACTGAGTTTCACTTTAAAAAGTACATAGAGTGGCCATGAACAGACATTTAAGACACACTTCACACACATCATCAACTTCTTGAACTTGATTACATACTGTTTGGGCAATAACAGAGGGGTGAAAATGGTGACTATAAGTGTAATGTATATTACTATGTTCTGACATTGACAGTTCTGTCCTGATGAACAGGGTTTCTGAAGATCAGTGACCAAGTAGAGTTCTGTCTGATATTAACCATCTCCTCCACATCCTCTCTGATATGAGGGAAAGTGCAGTGGAGTAAAACTGAGTAACTTCCTATCTCTGATGCTGCAGACACCACAGACACTTTCATTCCTCGTAGACCAGTGGAGGCTGCTGAGGGGAGGACAGCTCATAATAATGGCCAGAATGGAGTGAATGGAATGGTGTGAAACACATGGTTTTCAGTACCATTCCATTCACTCTATTCCAGCCATTCCACTCCATTATTCCAAACATTATTATGAGCCGTCCTCCACAGTCATATACTTGCCTTATACTTCCTCTTAGCTGGGTTAAGTAGTACAGTATATATGGTGTATTAGTCAGCCTTTCAGTGAGTGTGTGTGTGATGAGTGTGTGTGATGAGTGTGTGTGTGTGTGTGTGATGTGTGTGTGATGAATGTGTGTGTGTGTTTGTGTGTGTGTGGGGGACTCACGTGAAATGGTGATGACCATGGTAGTGTCGCAGTCCCTACAGATGGCATAGATGTGTCAGCGGTTTGTGTGTGTGTTTGGGTATGTGTGTGTATGTAACCTTAGGGCACCTACCTGACGAGCGGTCCCCGCAGATGGCACAGATATGTTTGGTGAGGGAGAGGGGCGTGCACCCTTGTGAGGGCTGAGCGGGCACCTTCATCACCCCGTTGAGACCCAGCGGGGGCTTGATGTCCTCCGAGCTGCTGACCGAGTTCATCTGGGAGTTCAGCTGGAACATCAACACATACAAACACAACCACAGACAGGTCACAACGCCGTTCTGACACTGACACTCAGCATGTCATAGACACACGCACGCTTCATCAGATTACACAGAAATGTGAAACAGAAAATGTGATGAAGTGTGGTTACTTAACGTCATCAACCAGGGGCAGCTCTGTTGTTCAGCAAAATAATGATGACAGTAAGATCTGGTATAGGGAGAGCAGAACTCCGTTTTGAGCCACACAGCAAAAAGAAATGGCTATGGCTGAGTATGTATCCATGCAGATAAGCTGATTGGGAGGGTTAATGCTAACTACAGCTGGGCAGTAGTTCCAGTCGCAGCCTAGCAGGCCTCCTCCCTCCACTCCCCTGCCTGTGTTTCAGATCTAAAACCTGTCGCTGCTGGATCCTGCACCACTAAAACCCAGGAGTTCTTTAATTCATACTCCCAACAACCCCCCCCCCCTGGCCTCCAAATGCTCAGAGCTAGCATAACTTAAATGCAAAATGTAGCAGTGCAGAAGAATAAAGAGCCAGCATTGGTTTTAGCAAGAGAAAGTGCTCTTAGCTCTGCTGTGTAACAGCTCTGATAACGTTCATGTGAAAACACCCTCTCGCACTGTGTAGCCTCGCAGGGAGCGCTACGAGACACTAATCAGCCCAACTCTGCTGTTATCACTGGAGTTACTAGAGTTACTAAGAAGGGCATGCTTTGGCTAAATTACTCCACAACAATAATCACTGGATAGCCAACCATCAGTACAGCAATGGAAAAATAAATTTTTTAGAAGCCATGTCTCTTTCAGCATGCTCTAAAACTATGATGTTAAATTGACCCAAATAAACCCCAAAATTACAAATAATTCACTTTGGAAAAAATGTAAATGAAAGGGACTGAATGTGCTAATTATTTTCATGGTGATATTACCGTGGTATTACCAAGTGATGTATTTCTTTAACAACAACAATGCCATCCTCTCTCAATCAACACCTATCCTGGTGTTGACATGAGTGTTGCAGACTGGGGGGAGACTTGCTAGACTGCTTGCTAGACTGAGGTACTGTGGGTCCAAGCTAGCTAGCATATATCTTCATTGAGTTACTGTAAGCTGTACGCTAACAGAGCAAAGGCACATACATTGTTTATAGGCTGAGAGAGAAGAAGATGAAAGAAACATGTTGTATACAAGACATAATGATGAAAATAACATGACACTACAGTTCAGCTAGCCTTTCTAACCTTCAGCTGTGTTTCCAAAGCTCTGTCAGGGTACATTAGTATACCGTTTACACATTAACTATACACAAAGACAAACATATCCCCTTTCTCTCTGACATATGGAATCCTTACAGCTTAAGGCCACAGGGCATACACATGTACAGTGGGGAAAAAAAGTATTTAGTCAGCCACCAATTGTGCAAGTTCTCCCACTTAAAAAGATGAGAGAGGCCTGTAATTTTCATCATAGGTACACGTCAACTATGACGGACAAATTGAGAATTTTTTTTCCAGAAAATCACATTGTAGGATTTTTTATGAATTTATTTGCAAATTATGGTGGAAAATAAGTATTTGGTCACCTACAAACAAGCAAGATTTCTGGCTCTCACAGACCTGTAACTTATTCTTTAAGAGGCTCCTCTGTCCTCCACTCGTTACCTGTATTAATGGCACCTGTTTGAACTTGTTATCAGTATAAAAGACACCTGTCCACAACCTCAAACAGTCACACTCCAAACTCCACTATGGCCAAGACCAAAGAGCTGTCAAAGGACACCAGAAACAAAATTGTAGACCTGCACCAGGCTGGGAAGACTGAATCTGCAATAGGTACGCAGCTTGGTTTGAAGAAATCAACTGTGGGAGCAATTATTAGGAAATGGAAGACATACAAGACCACTGACAATCTCCCTCGATCTGGGGCTCCACGCAAGATCTCACCCCGTGGGGTCAAAATGATCACAAGAACGGTGAGCAAAAATCCCAGAACCACACGGGGGGACCTAGTGAATGACCTGCAGAGAGCTGGGACCAAAGTAACAAAGCCTACCATCAGTAACACACTACGCCGCCAGGGACTCAAATCCTGCAGTGCCAGACGTGTCCCCCTGCTTAAGCCAGTACATGTCCAGGCCCATCTGAACTTTGCTAGAGTGCATTTGGATGATCCAGAAGAGGATTGTGAGAATGTCATATGGTCAGATGAAACCAAAATATAACTTTTTGGTAAAAACTCAACTCGTCGTGTTTGGAGGACAAAGAATGCTGAGTTGCATCCAAAGAACACCATACCTACTGTGAAGCATGGGGGTGGAAACATCATGCTTTGGGGCTGTTTTTCTGCAAAGGGACCAGGACGACTGATCCGTGTAAAGGAAAGAATGAATGGGACCATGTATCGTGAGATTTTGAGTGAAAACCTCCTTCCATCAGCAAGGGCATTGAAGATGAAACGTGGCTGGGTCTTTCAGCATGACAATGATCCCAAACACACCGCCCGGGCAACGAAGGAGTGGCTTCGTAAGAAGCATTTCAAGGTCCTGGAGTGGCCTAGCCAGTCTCCAGATCTCAACCCCATAGAAAATCTTTGGAGGGAGTTGAAAGTCTGTGTTGCCCAGCGACAGCCCCAAAACATCACTGCTCTAGAGGAGATCTGCATGGAGGAATGGGGCAAAATACCAGCAACAGTGTGTGAAAACCTTGTGAAGACTTACAGAAAACGTTTGAACTGTGTCATTGCCAACAAAGGGTATATAACAAAGTATTGAGAAACTTTTGTTGTTGACCAAATACTTATTTTCCACCATAATTTGCAAATAAATTCATTAAAAATCCTACAATGTGATTTTCTGGATTTTTTTTTCTCATTTTGTCTGTCATAGTTGACGTGTACCTATGATGAAAATTACAGGCCTCTCTCACCTTTTTAAGTGGGAGAACTTGCACAATTGGTGGCTGACTAAATAATTTTTTCCCCCACTGTAGATATGTGGACATGCAGCACACACCCACTTTATTATATCTGCACTGTACACAGGCCACCCCCACACCAGGGCTCAAATGAGGGGCAGCAACTACCAAAGCCTCGTCACACATACTGTTCACATGTGCACACGCATCTACAAACACACATGCAATCTGATTGGGGACTGACTTCTTTCTTGGCAGAAAATCTGATTTATTTGATAATTGTCTTATAGTGTATATTGCAGCAGAAACTCAATGCTATAGAAATTGATATAATGTGTATTATTGATCTTATGCTACAAAGACAATAGATGACATTGAAGACGTTATGTGTCGTGCCATCATTCAATTATACACTACATTTATACAGACTGTCAGTGTGTTCATACGGACTGTCAGAAAATAGCAATTGATGACTGAGTGCCGTATTTTCTCATGCAACATGAAACTGTGAGCACATCTGTGGTTTATAAACACACACGCACACACTCTAGACACACAAGCACGCACAATCTTGAGTTCTTACCTCAGTTTACCCTTTTCCATTGCAGCACAAAAGAGCCTGTCTACTCGTCTGATATTGTCCCTATCAAACCCAATAGCTGTCTGACAGAACATACCATTCCTCTCCAAATCTATTTTCAGTGAACCTGCAACTCAATCTGTCCACAGTTACACTACTCTCCATGCCGGGGTGGGCTGGGGGTCTCTCGCTCTCTAGTGCTTCTCTCTTGCCCAGGGCAGTGCAGGGATGGTGGGGGGATTAAAGGGGCTCAGTCCTGGGTCTGTAAATAGAATACAACCCCCCTCCCCACCACCACCACACATACATGCAAACCCCCCCAAGAGGGGGGAACAACCAGACAAGCTGTGTGTGTGGAGTCCCCCATCGCTGGGGAAAATCTCTGGATGATCCTTATTACTAGGGCTGGGAATTGCTAAGGACCTCACGATATAATATTATCACGATACTTAGGTGACGATGCGATATGCATTGTGATTCTCAAGGTTCTATATGTATTGTGATTCGATACTGTGATTTTATTGCAATTCGATGTTCCAAACATATTTCTCACCATATGTCTGCTGCAGAGAGACAAGAGAGAGCCTCGAGAAAATGAGTTTTGATCAGTCATGGAAATAAAAGTGCTAAAAACAAAATTGGTTCCCTATTTAAAAAGAAGATGGAGAACAAACTATGAAGGCAAAACACTGGAGATTTGGCGCAGGTACAGCCAACTAATGTTGCGATATTGTCAAAACGATGTGATACGATATATCATCAAAAATAATATCCTGATATGTAACTGTATCGATTTTTTCCCCCGTCACTAATCATTACCCCTTCTGGGTGTCTGATAGGGCTGGGACGATACCAGTATCACGATACTCATTAGTATTGTGGCAAGGAAACTAAATACGAAGCGGATTTAACTTCTTTAGGAAAACAGCCCTAATGTTGGAAACAAATATCATTACGTTGTCATCCAGAGTCACATTTATGTTCCAATAGCACCCAATATTTTACATACAGCTCTTTTTTAAAGGAGCTAAGAGTTTGGTGTTTATTTTTGCCATGGAAAAAATATTACGATACTGGTATCATCACAGCCCTAGTGTCTGATGGTGTCGGTTTGTCAATGGCTTATGTTCTCAGGCAAACACTAGTGAAATGTTTGTCTGTGGTTTTATGGAACATTTGCGAGATTGCTGAATGCTCTCTTACTGTAAGAAGGGGACTGTTGAAAAGTTCAGACAATACCCTGTGTTTGAATCAGAACCAATACAGTCTGGTTTACTATGAGGGAACATAGACCCACAGATGAGAGGAGAGAAGAATGGAGCATGAGCCATGAAAAAGCACACTCAGCCAGTCCAGTGACTCAGAACAGAGACAGAGAAAGAGAGGGGAGAGAGAGTTGTGTTACTGAAGCATTTGGAACTCTGTGGCCATAGCAGGTGTGTGTTATAGTGTAAGGTGTGGCTATACTGCTCGCCCAGTAAATGCTCTAATGTAATGGGTG